AGATCTTTCATTTTGTTAAGTTTACTCCCAGGTATTTAATTCTTTTTATGCTGTTGTAAATGAAATTGTTGTCTTGATTTTTTTTCCTCTTCTGGCTCATTATTTGCATATAGGAAGGCAACTGATTTTTGTGTATTGATTTTGTAACCTGTCACTTTGCTGAATTGATTTGTTGTTTAGGTTAGCTTTTCAGTGGAATTTTTAGGGTTCTCTGTGTATACTATCATGTCATCTGCAAATGATGTTAACTTCTTCCTTCCCCATTTGCATTCCTTTTATTATTATGTTGAGGTAAGTTCTTTCCCCAGTTTTTCATCATAAGTGGATATTGAATTTTTTTTTTTAATAGAGGCATGTTTTATTTATTTATTTGTTTGTTTGTTTGTTTGTTTGTTTGTTTATACATGCACTGGGTACAGTCAGAAGCGCGGGAGGGTGAGAGAATTCACCAGAGCCAGAGCGGGGAGCAGAGCAGGCAGAAGGACCGAAGTACACTGCTGAGGGGAGCAGAGGGCGGCAGGAGAGGTCTGCGCGCCATGTGAGGGGAGCAGCGGGCGGCAGGAGAGGTCTGCGTGCCATGTGGGACCCTCCTCCGGTGGCCGGGGTGCAGCCGGGGATCGAACCGGCACCACTGAGGCCGCTGGCAGCTTCGCAACCCAGCGCTCAACCGCTGCGCCACCGGGGAGGCCCAATATTGAATCTTATCAGAGCTTTCTCAGCACCTATTGGTTATATAATTTTTTTGTATTTCCTTTTATTGGAGTGGTGAATTACATTAATTGATATTTGTATCTTGTGTCCCTGTAGTAAATCCCAATTGGTCATGGTGTATGATCCTTTTAATGCTTTGCTGAATTCACTTTGCTAGTATTTTGTTGAGGGTTTTTACTTCTATTTTCATCAGGGAGATTGGTCTGCAGTTTTTTTCTTTGTGATGTCTTTGTCTGCTTTTGGTATCAGAGTAATGTTAGCTTCATAAAATGTGTTTGCAAGCATTCCTCTTTCTAATTTTTTAGAAGTGTTTGAGAAAGAGGTATTTGCCTTTCAAGATTTGGTAGCACTCACTTGGGAGACTGATAGTGGCCTTTTTGGTGGTGGGCAGGGGAGACTTGATTGTTTCAGTTACTGTAGTTGCAGTTGGAATGCTCAGGTTTTCTATTTCTTTCCAATTCAGTCTCAGACGGTTGCATATTTCTGAGAATTTTCCCATCTCTTACTCAACTTACTGGCATACAAATATTTATAGTAATCTTTTATGACCCTCTGAATTTGTTAGATGCTCTGGCCTAGCTAGAGGTTTGTCCCTCTCTTTTGTTCTTTCATATCATGGAGTGTTTTGTGATTGAGGATGTTTTCACTTTTACAGTCCAAGAAAAAAAATTTTGTAAAACAAAATATAGAAATGGTTTGAAGCAAATCATCATTCATAGAGAAAAGCCTTCTGTGGACATGTACAATGGGTGTAAAAATTTGGCTATTCTCACTTTAAGTGTGGAAATATGAAGGTTTTCTACCATTCACAGGATCTTTTGCAGTCAAAGGAGTTAAGAAAATTAATTGGGCACATGAACATTTCAAAAACATACTTAAGATCTGACAAATACGATATGGAAATGCTGAACAGGTTTGGGAAATTGTTCTGTTAAACTATTTTTAAGATTCTATGAAGGAAAGGTGTTATAAGTAGGCATTTAAAAAGAATGATTTAGAAAAAATGGGCAACTTTTTTTTTTTTAAAGATTTATATATTTTAGGGCCTCCCCGGTGGCGCAGCGGTTGAGCGCTGGGTTGCGAAGCTGCCCGCGGCCTCTGCGGCGCCGGTTCGATCCCCGGCTGCTCCCCGGCCACCGGAGGAGGATCCCACATGGTGCGCAGACCTCTCCTGCGGCCCGCTGCTCCCCTCAGCAGTGTACTTCAGCCCTTCTGCCTGCTCTGCTCCCCGCTCTGGCTCTGGTGAATTCTCTCACCCTCCCACGCTTCTGACTGTACCCAGTGCATGTATAAACAAAACAAATAAATATAATAAATAAATAAATAAAAACATGCCTCTATAAAAAAAAAAAAAAAAAAAAAAAAAAGATTTATATATTTTATACAAGAACTGGGGTACAGGTCAGATGCGCGGGAGGGTGAGAGGATTCACCAGAGACAGAGTGGGGAACAGAACAGGCAGAGTGAGGAAATACACTGCTGAGGGGAGCAGTGGGCGAGACAGGGGAGGTCTGCTTGCCATGTGGACCCTCGCCGGCCGGCCGGCCGGGATCGAACTGGTGCTGCAGAGGCTGTGGACAGCTTCACAGTGCTGTGCTCAGCTGCCTGCACCACCAGGGAGGCCCAGGGCAACTTCTTTATGTCAGTTTAGTATTTGTTCAAGTGACTTTTATACTGTTGCTGAATGCAAGGAGGAAGGAGGCAGATGGATGAATGAGGAATAGTAATTTAGTTCCCAAGGAAACCCTTTTCTAATTAGAAAAAAAGACAGTTTCAAGATTTGTGACTATGGTGATGTAACTAGACAGCTGTGAATTTTTCTGCTGTTATTTTCTAATTTTGAAGAAGAAAGAAATTGTATTACAGGTTTTTTTTTAAGTCTACTAATTTAGTTACATGGTGAATGCTGACCAGAAGTAAGATGAGAATGGCAATGCCACTAAAGAATTCAAGTTAACACTGACAGGCACACAGATCTATGGAATGTCAAGCAGTAATAAGACACTGGAATTTATGAAGTAATTAAGCTCAGGAATCTTTCTAAAATTTCATTAAACTGGTTTTAACAGAAAAGGCCATGTTAAAAAGTACACAGCCATGTAATATACATGTAGTTGCTTAACCAAGAATATAATTGGAACAAATCCATAAATGCTCAGAATATGCCAATCATAACCATTGTCACCTCAATAAAAGTGATACAGTTAAAAAAATATGCCAGTCACTTAGCTGTATTTGAGTCTGCATCTATGGAATAAAATCATTATTATTTAAATCCAGCCTTTAGCATTCACTCAGGTAGGGAAAACATAAGCCTTTTTATTCTCTCTAATCAGACATTTTCCAGTTACTTCCCTGAAGACTTGAAGCATGGGCTGGCATATAGCAAGAATGTTATGTATGAATGTTCAATAAAATAATACATGTGCATATTAATTACTGACTTCTGTTTTCAGAATTTAAAAATCATTCCGTTACTAGGAAAACCAAAGTCCCCAACCCAGTTTTATGTCTAAAAGACTTCTGTTTTTCCCTCACTTCATAATTGCTCCCAACATGCATGCACATGTGCACACACTTTTTGAATTTTTAAAAATGTATTCATCTGTAGTATTAATAATTAGGGTGGCTTCTGAATAAGAATCCAAACTTAACTAATGTTTCTTGGTAACCTAAATGAAGATTTAATATTTAGGGAAGTTTTATTTATGTACCAGAATTACAAATAGGCAAAATGAAAGTAACAATAAAGTAATTAAGCTCATCTATTGCAACTTTCTAGCTGCTGACAGTGAACTAATCTAAGCTGACCTCTACTAATAGAACCGCAGAAAAAATTAGAGAGCTGCCCCATAATCCAGCAATCCCACTTTGGACTACATATACAAAGGAAATTAAATGACTCTCTTGAAGAGGTATCTTCATATTCATTACAGCATTATTCACAATAGCCAGTATAGAAGCAATCTAAGTGTCCATACATGATGAATGGATGAAGAAATTTGATATATAGATATAATGTACTATTAGCCATGGGAAAGAGGAAACCCTGCTTTTGTGAGAACATGGAAGGACCTTGAGAACATTAATGCTAAGTAACGCAGATAGAGACTAGTACTGTATAATGTTAAGTATATGAGGAATTTTTTTAAAATGAGTTTAGGTTTTTTTTTTTAATATTTTATATATTTCTTACATCATTTTTCATTTTTTGCACAATGTATGTATATCAGGAGTTTTTAAAAGGCGAAGTGAGAAACATGGAGTGGTGGTTAATGGTGATTGAGGGTGGGGGAAGTGGGCATGTTGTTCGTAGTTGACAGACTTCCAGTTGTAAGAGGAACAAGTTGCCGGCATTCATGTCCAGCGTGGTGAATCTAGTTAGCAATACTGTATGACATCCTTGAAAGTGGCCAGGATACGAAATCTTCAGTGTTCTCACCTTGTACACACAAAGGTGATTATATTAGGAGATAGATATGATGGAAGCCTACAGTTGAAAATTCAGGGTGGAAATTTTCACAAAGTCAAAAACAAGGTAGGGGCAGAAAGGATTATCAGATTATCAAGCCAACCCACCCCCAAAGTGAAAATTCTTAAAAAGTCTCAATAAAATGATATTATCTAATGATCTGAAGTGTGAAACTCGGATTACAACAGCTGACCAAAAGACCAGAGTGTAACAATATTTACTTTAGAACTCAAGTTTCTTGGGCCTCCCCTGTGGTGCAGCAGTTGAGCGCTGGGCTTCGAAGCTGCCCGCAGCCTCTGCAGCGCCGGTTTGATCCCCGGCTGCCGGGGAGGGTCCCACATGGCGCGCAGACCTCTCCTGCTGCGCCGGCTGCTCCCCTCAGCAGTGTACTTCGCCAGTCTGTCTGTTCTGCTTTCCACTCTGGCTCTGGTGAAGTCTCTCACCCTCCCGCTCTTCTGACTGTACCAGTGCTTGTATAGATAAATAAATTAAAAAATCTTCAAAAAAAAACCCCAACAGTTTCTTTATAAAATGGAAACTATAGGGTTACTATGGGGATTTACGTTAAAGTCTTAATTAGCACAGCACGTAGTCTACTGGATGCGCAAGGCTGAGCTACACCTTACTCCTAGCCCTTAGGAAACCCTGAGAAGGGTGCAGAAACTACCCCAGGGCAACTGGGACCCTTGGTAGGCGCTGTTCGCTGGGCGGCGGCGCTACGCGCGTCCTCCACCAGGGGCCGCTCGAGCCCCCAGCCCCGCGCACCAGCCCGGCACCGCCTCCGCGCGTGCACATTAGGTGTTGCGCGCGCCTGTGCATCCGCGCCGCAGCCCTGGTTTTCGGCGGCTGCTTCCCTGGCGGCAAAGCAAGCCCGCTGCGGCTGGCTACGGGAACTTTTGGGGGACAAAAATCTTCCCCTCCCCATTGGGCTCTGTTTTGTACTGCTCCGTTCTGTGGGAAAACCTGGGGCGGCAAGTATTAGTGACTCCATTGCGCTTTACCCGGGAGGTTGGAGGAGCCGAGCTCGGCGGAGTCCGGCTGATTGAGGCCTGGGCTTGGGAGCCGCTGCCGCTGCCCGGATGTTGCGATGGCTCATCGGGGGAGGCCGAGAACCCCAGGGACTGGCGGAGGTAAACCCCCAGGTGGACCCAGCCAGGCCGGGCAGGGGCCGAGCTTGCCAGGGCAGAGGCTTTCGTCTGAACCTGACCCTGGGACCCGGGCAAGGCGGGGCCTGCTGCAGCCGGCGAGGGCGGGGTCGGGCGGGAGTGGGGGCAGGGCTTCTTTCTGGGGCCACACTTTGCCCTGTGTCCCAAGACCCGGAGAGGTAAATACCCGGCTCAAAGAGGTGAAGAAATTGTGCTCTAAGCGGTTCAAGGATGAGCTCAAGGACACGCAGCTAGTCTTGTGGCTACCGAAGCCAGCCTTATTTCACTTTCAGAAAGTATCCCACTTAAGAGAAACGTGCAAGTAGTGACTGCAACTTCCCGCTTTTTTGGCTTGTTTAAATTGGTGTCTCTTCCCAGCATCAACTGATGCTTCTTGGGGAGTATAAAATTAGATTATTTATCCAAGAACAGGAAAGGTTATGGTTATTTTTAAAATAATAATTTGCTTCAAAGTCAAGAAAATGAGTTTCTAATTAACTGCTATTTTGAGTTGCATAGTCACACTTTCTTCCTAGGCCTAATTGAATAGACTAATAAGATTTACATTTATTTGCAAATAAATAATTTCAGTACTTTAAAGTGTTGAGATCTGGAATTTACTTCATATGCTACGCAAGAATAGAGTTTGTATTCAATTCTTTTTTATTTCTCTTAGAAGTACTTAAAAAAAATTTGGGTTATGGGTAAGGAACCTCACTTCTCAGTTGTGACTTCCTTATATTTTTGCAGTTAAGGCATATGATCTTTTTTAATAATGCATTTCCTATTTCAGATTAGTCTTATTTTAGATAGACTGAAACCCAAAAGATTATGGAATACTGGAAAATTCAGTAGTCCATATATATGTTTTAAATGACAGTTTAAATCCGATTATTTGATTAATCATAGAATTTGATTTTTTCTGCTATGCCTGGAAGAAACTTTCAGTTGAGGGAAGTGGTATAGAGTGCTCAAAATATTCACTGTTCCTTTTCTCATCACAATCAATGCTAGAAGGGAGATGGGATAATTAAAATGTTGCTCTTTTGGGGTGATTTTTTGGAAAACATTCATTTTATACACTTCATTTAAATTCAATTGTGTAATTAACATGAATCTGTACATTATCAGAACTAATGATTTCCCCTAATTATATAAGTACTTAATATCCAGATTTACACTTTAAGCAGTGTTTCTCAGCTCAAATGCATGTACCCCTTTCAGGGTACATTTGGTAATGTCTGGAAACATTTTTAATTGTCATGACTTGGCATCTAGTTTGTAGAAGCCAAAGTGCTGCTAAACATTTACAGCACAGGGGGTAACCCTCAGCAACAAGTAATTATCTGATGTCAGAACATCAATATTGTTGTTTGAGAAACTGCAGTTCAGAAGTTAAGAACAAAGGTTTTATCTTGAATTCGTACCATGGGGCAGAACTGTGTGAGTTCTGTATCATTTGCTTTGCACAGTGTCTGTGGTATTCTGTTAAGTGTTAGCAGTTATCTTTGTCGGTATTGTTGTCCAAAGCTGAATACATTGATTTCCTTAATTCTAAATGATTTCATTGCTTCTTTTACTCATTCAGCAAATATGTATTGAAGGCCTAAACAGTAGGCACTGTTTTAGTCTGTATTATGTTTTACCAGTTTGATCTGTAGTAGTTTCGTTTCTACCGAATATTTTTTGAAAAAATCCATTCTAAAATAGTGAGTTGGGTTGCCCAATCATTTTTTAGCTGAGGTTTATTGAGATATAATTTCCATAAAATAAAATTCACTTTTTGGGTAAAATTTATGGTGTGAATTTTTGGTAAGAGAATTTTTTGTTAAATCAAGTGTTAGTTGATTTTAGGGTAAATAATATGCAGTATTAGAATATGGTAACAGCTTTTAAAATCGTGTATTGTTTAAAGTATACCATGCAATTTTATGCCTGTATGGTCTTTTATCATCAAGTATTTTACTTCTTTTTCTCTTTTGCCCTCTCTGCCTCTCCCATACAAGAAATCTCCTTTACAGACAATAGGTGAAGAACAAACGCAGAACCCCTATACTGAACTGATTGTGCTGAAAGCGCATCATGATATTGTACGATTTTTGGTGCAGTTAGATGACTACAGGTAAGAAACTCTAGTTGTCCAATTGACTTTTGAAAAGTTTTAGGGTATTTTATATTAAAAACAACCCATTGGTGGCTCAGTGGGTCAAGTCTCAGCACTATCAAGCTGTTAGTAGTCATTGCAGCATGAGTTTGATCCCCGGCCAGGGAGCTAACTCACATGATCCAGCAGACCTCTCCTGTCTCGCCCACTACTCCCCTCAGCAATGTATTTCAGTGGATCCGCCTGTTCTGCTCCCCACTGTGTCTGGTGAATCTTCTTACCCCCCACACCTTTGGCCTGTGCTCCCGTTCTTATATGCATAAATAAGTAAAAAAGTAAATCTTAAAAAAAAAAAAACTTCAAACTTACTCTAAAAATTTCAAAACTGATCATTAGTAGTATGTAACAGAATTGAACTCTACATCTTGATGAAATCCATATCTGATGTCTTTTTGCCCAGATCAGGGAATCATATCTGGTGATTTGATGGTTATTCTTGTGTGAGGTTTTTTGGTTTGGTTTTCTAGGTTCTCAGAAATATTCCTGTTGGTTTAGAGGAAATGTATGACTTTAAAATTTTTGTGGGGGTTGTATTAAGGTGAACCTAAATTTGAGAACAAATATGGTAAATGTTTAAACATCAGGTACATACTAGGAGTGTGCTATTTTGGGTAAGGTAAGTATTTAATCTGATTTTTTTGTTATTAATGACACCCTTTTAATTGGCAGTATTCTGTACTTCCTTGCTAGCATGTTTAGTATTGTATTTACTACATTTGTAAATAAAGATAATGGTGTATAAGTTTTAGGACTTATGACCATCCTGTATATTTGTTTATTAAGCCCTCTTCAGCTGTATACCTACCCTTTGTAACATGTCACAGTAACAATTTTGCTATTACCTATATAATATTTGTCTTCCACTCTGGAATGTAAGCTTCATGAGAGTGGGGCTGTGTTTTTCAAAGTCACCATAGTAGCCTTATTACCTGCCCAGTGCCTACTATAGTAGGTATTTCATGAATAGTTTTTGAGTGAATGAATGACTCCCCAGACTATTGTGTAGATACTGCATTTCCTCCTACCTCCTTAATCCCATTTCTGATGTTCCTACCAATTCTTTCATTTTTATCTCTAATTTTCTCTTTTGCTTCCCCCCCCCTCCTTCATTTTTGACTTCATGGGTGACTGCAAGTATGATTTATTCTTAATTCTGGTAATCACTTCTGATATATATATAAACCTGTCTACTCTTATTTTCCCCCCTCTTTCTGTAAATCTCCCCCCCCCCCACCAACGACTTACGTCTTTGGTATTTAGTTGCTTTTCACATGTGCAGTGCAATTCTGAGGCTAACTACCAGGAGTTAGGTCAGACTTCACAATATTCCCCTCACCTCACTCACCAGCTGCAACCATCAGAGTTCCAGGGCTGTCCACACTATGACTAGCTACAAATTCCCACTACCACCTCAGTTTGATAATTTGCTAGAATGATTGACGGAACTCAGGAAAGCACTTATGATTACAGTTTGATCATAAATGGTAAGTCAGGACCAACTAAATGAAGAGATGCTTGGAACAAGAATTAGGAGTGTCTGAATGCAAAGCTTTTGTTTCTTCAGGATGTATTTATTATCCTTTCAGCATATCTGTAGTATCACCAAAAGGGAAGTTTACTTGAGCTCTGGTGTCTAGAGTTTTTATTGGGGTTTCATTATGTAGGCATGATTGTTTGACTAATTTGCCACATGATTGAACCCAGTTTCCAGTTTTTCTTGGTTGGGAGGTGAGGCTCAATACCCCAACACTCTAATAAAAAACATGATTTTTCTTTCCCTCATGGCCATCCCCCATCCTGAAACTGCCTGGGGCCTACCATGAATTATCTTAGCGTAAACTCAGATGAAGTCTAAGGGCCAGGATCTCTTGCAGAATCCAAGACAAATTCCAACCAAATTATTATACGTAACACCATACTCCACTACTTTTTGAAAAGATTAGCCTATCACCACTATTTTCTATTGTGATGTGAATTGATCAAATCATAGCATGTTAATCTATATAGTAATTTTGAGCAATTTTGGTAACAATCATTCTTTCTAGAGACATTTATTTTAATGATCATATCTTTGAAACTAAACATCTCTGGAAAGGTAGGATTCCGGGCAGGTAAAGTTTTATGTAATATGTAATATATAACACTTTACTGAAGTGAGTTACAAGGTAGGTTAAAAAAAAAAAAACCAAATAGGTTCTTAGAACATAATCACTAATAATTGGGCCCCAAAGAATCCCTAAATCATTTTGTCTAAGAAAGTTAAATGAAAGAATTGTAGAATACTTTCAGGTTGGGGGGTGGGGTCGATCTTTAAGTATTTTGTAGATTAACTGTTAAGATCCCATGTTCATTGCTTTGTCTTCTGAAATGGCCTCTTGTCTATTCTTATTACAAAGAAGAATCATCTGCAGAAAGGAACATCTTGTAGAATAGTGATCATTGTACAAATGCTGAGAAATACTTCCACAGTGGTTTGGTGATATAGTAAATATTCTGTAAACATTTATTTATTGCTCTGTCAGATAGCACCCTGAATTTGGTGGTTTAAAACAATCATTATTTACCTCACCATTTTGCAGGATGGCAATTTGGAAGAGTTTAGATGGGTGGGTCTTTTTGTCTCTGCAGGATCAGCTGGTCTTGATTAGGTTCACTTATGCATCAGTAGGTAGATCAATAGGTAGATTGAGTCTTGCTATTTCACAGTGGTGGCAGCTAGGATAATCGGGGTCTTCTCCATGTGCTTTCTCACATTATTGACTGTGGAATTCTTATGGCAACAAAAGGACAAGTCCCTATATAAGAGCACTTTTCAATTCTCTGAATGATGTTTGTGGCTGTTTTCATTGACCAAAACAAGTTGGGAGCTGGCATGAAATTAGTGAGTGGATAGATATATGAGCTCTACCTCTTGATGGAAGAAGCAACTAAGTCCCATTGCAAATGTATATAGAGGTAAAATAATTTTTAGCCATGTTTACTATTTACTAAAGTGAATCTAAATGTCTAGAATAGATGGAAAAAACTACCTTTTGGCTTCTGCAATAAAGTGAAGATATTACTACCTTAATCACATTTAATTCTTTGTACTCATTACTATATCAAATTGTACATGTAATTAGCTATGAAGTTTTTCAGTCATAGACATGTAAAACTTTCAATCTGTGTTTTGTTTTAAAATGTTTAATTCTGTAGTGTACTAAAAATAAGAACTAAATGAATTATTTTTGGTAAAAAGACATTAAAAAATCTATAACCTGTCTGATTATATTTATTATAAGTAGAATTAACAGCTCTACATTTCATTCTTAGTAGTTTAAGTTCAGAATTACCTTTGCAGATGTACATTGTTTATGCATTATAGAATTACAGAAATATCCATCTAATTTTAAAGTAAATATTATAGTTTTTGTTTTCATTTAGTTTTTGTAGACATTACATTCTGGGTTTTTTTTTTTGTTTGTTTGTTTTTTGTCGTCTGTTGTAATCCAGGTTTCATGCTTCAGGTCTTTGGATAATATCATTTTATTGAGAATTTTGCAGAAGGATTTTCTTGTTTTCTTGGTGGCTCAACTAAAATCAGTGAGTGGAAAATTTTCTCAGATTGCTTTTTGAAGATACCAAATAAATCCTGTATCACCTAACAGACAGCTGCCTTTTCTTTTCTTCTTTCGTATTTTTTGAACATGAAGTGAGGGTCATATTGATTGGGAGATCACTAAAGAAGGCTAAGCCTCAGCAAGAGTCTTCCAAAAAATGGACTGTGCTAAAATTGCATTTAATACTCTAGCATTTGACACATTAAACTAAACTGAGTTCATAACACATTTTAAGAATAGTTTTCTCTGTTACTCATTTGATCATTCCTTGCTCCTTGAGGAAACAGACAAGGTTATGTAGGATAGTGATCATGACTGGAAAAGAATCAGGTGACCCATGAAATACCAGACTGGAGAATACAGTATGTCCCTTGATGGCTCTTGGAGCTGTATGTTCACTGGAAAATAAACAAACTCAGCAGTATGGTAAGATAATTTTCAAATACAAACAGTATATTACACCTTTAAGAAAATAGCATAAACCAGGAATACATTATCTCATTAACAGTAGAAATCAGTCAAGATGATTTAAATCTTTCTGATACCTGGGTTCCTTGGGTAACAGACAATAAAATGGAGTTAAATATACAAAAGGCTTAATGCGAGAAAAACACCAGTGAATGGAAAAGGTAGGGAGCAGGATTGCACTAGGGGAGCTACAGCAGATTATGATGCAGATCTGACAGTGTCCGTAGACCACTGGAGAGGTCTGGAGGGAGGAGCCTCCTGCAGACTGTGTTGCATGGAAATAACTAGGGCTTTGTACCCTGTCTTGCTTATTTATTGGCTGAGTGTCTTTTAAGAATGTGCCCACAGCTTGTGCTACTTTACTTCAGTACTAGTGGCTGGGAGCCAGGTAAGATAGTATGACTTTGTCTTCAAAGCTGAAGTAAACCCTAAAGCCTACAGTTGGAGGTAGACAGATAACCACATTCCTCACAGCAGCCCCCTTTTCAGAGGGTATCTGGAGGTGTTTTTGTATCTCCCACAACTTCCATCATTGTACATTGGTCTATTTTATTTTTAAATTGTATGAATGAACTCATTGAGGCTATGCCTTTTGAAGCTTTTGAAGCGGCTTTATGTTAAAAGTTAATGGTTAGTGGTTCTCTCATTTGAAAAAATTAATACAGTTTTCACAGGTATCGAGGCACTTGTATCTGGCAAAGGGTATAAGAAATTCTTTCTATCATGAGTTCTGGAGCTACGGTACTAATTATACAAAGGCACTAAGCAGTTTGCTTAGTGCCTCCATCCAGTGTCACACTGAATGTAGACATCTTGATTTTATTACGACAGATTTTATTAAAATAAACCTATTGCAAGAAAACTCCCTATTTTGCCAGACTCCTAAATGAC